ACTTCATGAACATGAACGGAGTAGAGTCACGCCTTAGGTTGTCATTGACAAGCCATGAATGTCTTCAAACCCAAATCCAAACTTCAAGTCTAAGTCCAAGAACTAATTCCAAGCTCCAAGTTTTGATCCAAAATCAAAAAATACGGAAAATTAGTCAGGTTAATTTTGGAAAGAAGAATGGAAAAAAAAAATGCTCAAAAAAGAAGCCAAAAAAAGAAAAGAAAAAGAAAAAGAAAAGAAAAGGGGCATAAAAAAGGCAATGACAAAAACAAAAGAGAGAAGATACATAAATAAAAATGTAAAAATCAGGATGTTTTAATATTTTAATTATTAGGACTCTTTATAAAATTATTTAAATATTTTTAATAAATATTTTTTGTGCATTAAATCATTAAGAGTATTTTATTTTATTTTTTTATCATTCTTGGTAGGGTTGTTCATTTTCAATTTAAATTGATTGATTCGACTGAAACTAATCCAATTAGATTAAAACTCAATTCAAACTAATATTAATTTGTATTGGTTGGAATTATAAAATTTTAAAACTAATTTAATTGATTTAGTTTATAGTTTTAGTTTCAAACTAATTGAATTGTCAAATTACAAAGTAACTTAAATAAATAACACAATATTTTTGCTTTTTTATTTTTTAGTAAATATTTTTTGAATATTTTGTTGAAATAAAAATATAATTAAAAAGTTGTATACATATTGTATTTTGAATTTTTCTTTTCTTGTTATACTTTTCTTAATTGTATATAGTATAATATTTTTTAATTGTTATACTATACTATTAATTGTCTTGGTTATCTTTTTCTTATTTTATTTTTATTCTATAATTGTAAATATAATTTAATTAACCTAATTAAAAAATAGTGTAACTCTAAATCATCTTTTATGCAAATAAAAGTTTCGCTCTAAGAACACTTAACACTTTTAAGTGGCAACAATTTAGGCTTATAAATCTTGATTGCCTTATTGGTACTATCATTTTGTTATTTATAATATTAGTGTATTCTATAATTGTGTTTTTTATAATTTGATATTTAAATTTTTTACTTAATCAAATATATTTTAAATAGAGTTAAAAACCGATTAATTTGACAGAATTACACTAATACAATCTAAGTTGGATTGATTTGATTATAATATAATAGTAGATTGAATTAGTTTAAAAATTTTACTAATTAGTTAAATTCGTTTAGTTTTGAAAATATTAAAATCTAATTCAATCCAAACTTCAGAACACCTTCAATTCATGGCATTTTAATCACCAAGACACTTGATTTTCCTCAACCAATCTCTCTCTCTCTCTCTCTCTCTCTCTCTCTTTCTAAACCGATAAAACTCTCTCTCTATATATATATATATATACATGTGAATCAAAATTTACTTACATTCAAATCTTACATACTACACTTATACAAAATCTCAACCATTTATCTCTCCACTTTCAATGATTGAAATTCATTCACATTTATTAAAGGTAAGTATTGCTTTTATTTAAAAATTAAAATAAATCTCAACCATTGAAAGTAAAAGAATGAATGGTTAAAATTTTATATATGTATAGTATGTAAGAGTTTGCAAAAGTGTGTAGTCCTGGTTCTCTAAAAAAAATTAGAGTCCTAATTTCAAAAGCACCACCTTCTAATAAATAATTTCAAAAACCAATCATTAGATTTAATATTTTATTGATATAGATTATGCATGTCAATTTTTATAGGTTGATCATCATTCAATCAAAAAAATTATATTTTCTAAGGGTCAGTTTGGTATAGTAATTAAAATCCAAAATGTAGCGGATAATAAGTGGCAATTAATACATAATATGTGGTGGATGATAGAAAGTGGGTAGAGAGTAATAAATAATAGATATTAATTAATTTGACTATTTAATTATATAATAATTGATGATTGTTGTTTAATGCTAAATGATTAATAAGGGCATATGTAAAAGGTTGTTAATTATTTTTTATTTACTATAAAAAAGAAGTATAGTTTTTACTAATACTATTAATAATAACATTAATAATAATAATAATAATAAACAATCATAAATTAAATGTCT